GGCTGCCGGGAGCCGAGGGCTGGCCCCGGCCGGGGCCGGTGAGGGCCAGAGCTGGCACCGCGGGCGCCTTTGGGCTGCGCTTCGCCCCGCTGCGGGGCAGGGAGTGCGACGGAGGCGGGGCGGGAGGGAAGCGCCCTGCCGCCCCTGGGCACCGGAGATGCCGCCCACTGCCTCCGCTCACCTCCCTCGGCGCCCGTCGAGGCCAAGCCCCCTCGTTCCTGACCTGCCCGGCGTCCTCCCGTGCCTGTCGCCAAGCTGCCAGCTTGGATCCTGGCCGGGTCCCCGGGATGGCTACAGTCATGCCTTGCTCAGGCGGCAGGGCCGGCAGCATGGATGGTGCTAGGAGTCACCACCGAGGCGAGCGGCAGCTCCCCTCTTTCTGGTCCCCCCTTTCACCGCCACCCTCCTCCTGCCCCAGCTGCCCTGGAGCAGCAGGGATGCTGCCCTTCACCGGGGGCACAGTGGCCCTGGCTGGTCCTGGGGCTGCAGGACCCCCGGGGCCAGCCCGTGCCTCGGTGGGGCTGGTGCCGACGACGGCGGGTGCCTGGGAGTGGCAGCAGCAGGAGATGAGAGGCTGCCGGGGAGCGTGGTGCTGAGCTTTGAAGGCACCCTGACAGGCTGTCGGGTCCCCGCCAGCCGCGCTGACAGCCTGGTGCAGAGACACCCCCCCGCCGCCGCCACGCTCTGATCACAGCCTCGCCCGTCACTTCAAAGCACCCGCCGGGCTCAGGTGGGCTCCCACGCAGCCTCCTGCCCCACGGCTCCATTCCTCCTGCCCCATGGCCCCGCTTCTCCCACCTCACAGGGTCCAGATCCACTGGGCTCCCCAGCTCCAGGGTGGGGGATACCGGGATGTGGCATTGGGGACCAAGATACACGCATGGTCCCGAGCAGCGCTGGCAGGAGGCAATTGCCTCCCAGGCCTGGCACTGTCCTGCGTCTGTGGGGCAGGGCCCCCAGCCCCAGAGCATCCATGGTTGGGGACCCAGAGGGTCCAGGCAGGGACCCAGCGGGGACTGCAGTGCCAGGGCAGGGGACGAGCTGGGGTCCAGCATCCCTGGGCATGGGGCTCACACAGGGTGGCTGGGACAGGACATCACCCTCTGGACACTGGTGCCCACCATGCTGGGGCACTGGGGGCTGCTAGTTCACCCTGCCTGGGGTAACGCAACCCCCCCCCCCCCGTCCCAGCCTGGCTCGGGGAGGAATTTTCCATTCACGAATGGAGGTTAGGGGAAGGCGTGTGTTTGCAGCAGCCCCCTCCTCTCCCTCCCCTTGCCCGTCACCGGAGCAGCTCGGGAAGGCGCCTGCCACGCTCGCCTCCAGGAAGGCGCAGAGCAAAAGCCTCCCAGGAGGAAGAGCTCCCTGGAAGGGACCGGGGACCCCGGGCAGCCTCGCGGGCAGCCTGCACCCCACTTCCCAGAGGAGCCACCCTGCCTGCAGCCATGCCGCTGCCCCTTGCCTGCTGCCAGGACAGGGAAGCCCTGGCGGTGGCTCGGGACGGCGGCGCTGCCCAGCTCACCGTTGGCATCCTGCGAGCCACCAGGATCCCCGGGCTGCACTACATGTGCACCCGGCCGCAGTCCCGCCTGCGCCGCCTGCTCTGGAGCCTGGCCTTCCTGGCCTCCGCCGGGCTGCTGGCCACCGGCGCCACTGACCGCCTGCACCACCTTCTCTCGCACCCCGTGCACACTCGTGCACGCCTCGCCTGGGCCTCCCAGCTCCGCTTCCCGGCCGTCACCCTCTGCAACCCCAACCGGGCACGCTTCCTGCACCTCACCAGGCCCGACCTCTACTCGGTGGGGCAGTGGCTGGGGCTGGCCCAGGAGAACCGCTCGCTGGTGCCCGAGATGCTGGCCGTGCTGGGGGAGGACCGGCGCGCGTGGCTGACGCGTCTTGCCAACTATTCGCGCTTCTTGCCGCCCCGCCACTCCGAGCACACCATGCAGAGCTTCTTTCACCGCCTGGGCCACCAGATCGAGGACATGCTGGTGGAGTGCCGCTTTCAGGGAGAGCGCTGTGGCCCCCAGCACTTTGCCCCCGTGAGTCCCCACCTGGCAGGGGCCGGACAGCTGGGCTGCCCTATGAGCGCTGGGAGCGATGCCTCACCCCCCACAGCGAGGGTGGAGGTGTGGCGCTGTGTGTGTGGGAGGCTTAGATGAGCCCTTCCAAGGGCCACGTGAGACTGTTTCCCCCCCGCAGTGCCTCCGTGGGATTGGAGAGGGGTCCCTGGACCTCATCCTGCTTGCAGAATGCCCTGCCAGATCCCTGCCTGCTCCCTCACCCCCCTCTTCTCCATCCCCAGGTCTACACACGCTATGGTAAGTGCTACACCTTCAATGGGGACCGGAGGAACCCGCGGGTGACCCGCCAGGGTGGCATGGGCAACGGGCTGGAGATCATGCTGGACATCCAGCAGGAAGAGTACCTGCCCATCTGGAGAGAGACCAGTGAGTGGGGCCGTGCTACGGGCGAGGGATGCTGGGAGGGAGGGTTGCTGGGCAAACAGGGCACCCTGAGGTGGGCTATGGCGTAAGCGGGGCACTGGAGGGGTGCTGGGCTCCAGGGTGCAGCTCGTGGTTGGGTACAGGGGCAAGGCTGAGGGCTGTCCCCATGGGCAGGCGTGCAGCCCCCGTGACCTTCTCCCACAGACGAGACGTCATTTGAAGCTGGCATCAGGGTCCAGATCCACAGCCAGGATGAGCCGCCCTACATCCATCAGCTGGGCTTTGGTGTCTCACCCGGCTTCCAGACCTTCGTGTCCTGCCAGGAGCAGCGGGTAAGGCAGGATGCCCCACAGCCCCTGGGGAGGTGCCCGCGGGCACCTAGCCCGGCACGGCCCTGCAGCGATGCCCCTCTCGCCCTGGCAGCTCACCTACCTGCCACAGCCATGGGGGAACTGCCGGGCCAGCGTGCAGGGGGAGCAGATGCTGCCTGGCTACGACACCTACAGCATTGCTGCCTGCCGCCTGCAGTGCGAGAAGGAGGCCGTGGTGCGGAGCTGCCACTGCCGCATGGTCCACATGCCAGGTGAGGGGTGTGTGTGATGGCATGGGGGCACCCCGCTGCCCCGATGGTCCTGCACGGGGGTGCCCTGGCCCCCTCCAGCCTGCACCCAAGGACCACCCCCACCCCATCCCTCTGCGCCCAAGGGGCCCCCCTGCCCCATCCCGCTCCACCCAGGGACCACCCCATCCTCTCCGCATGCTGGGTCAGTCCCTGTCCTACACTCCTTACACCCCAGGCCAGCCTCTCCCCTGTCCGCCTTGTACCCAGGGGCCACCCCTGCCCCAGCCAACCTGCAGCCGAGGGCCACCCGTCCCCATCCCCTCCGCACCCAGGGGCCACCCCTGCCCCATTGCCTTTAGGGGAGTGAGTCAAGGGTGGGGGGCAGAAGCGGGCCAGATTCCCACCCCCCCGACCAGCTGCTTCTCCGCAGGCAACGAGTCCATCTGCTCCCCCAACGTGTACATCGAGTGTGCTGACCACACGCTGGGTAGGTGCGGTGGCGGGCAGGAGGCTGGGAGCCAGCCGGCTGCCCCCGGAGAGGGGGCCGGGAGGGAGTGCAGCCATGCTGACGGGTGCGTGCCCCCAGACACGGCGGTGGAGGACAGCCAGGAGCGCTGCAGCTGCCCCACGCCATGCAACCTGACTCGCTACGGCAAGGAGATCTCCATGGTGCGCATCCCCAACAAGGGCTCGGCACGCTACCTCGCCCGCAAGTACAACAAGAACGAGACCTACATCCGGTGAGTTGCTGGTGCCGGGGGGGTGAGCAGGGGGCTGGGGACCTGGGGAACCCCCACCCCACTCCTGGCAGCGTGTCAGGAGCAGGTCCTGGCACGGACGGTCCCTGCAGCATCCTCTGCTTAGGGGTGGCTGCCACTAGAGCACCTCCCTGACCCATCCGTGTCCTCCCAGCCCTCCTGTCGGCATCTCCCCACCCCACAGTCCCTCCTGGCCTGGGACATGCCCCTTCTGTGTCCCCACCGCACCAGCCTGAATATCTCACAAGGGCCCTGGGAGCACTTGGGAGCTGGAGGGCTGGGGGACAGGGGAGGTTTGGGGGGCAGTGGGGGTGGAAGGGTCAGTGACCAGGCCTCCTTGCTGAGCACTATGGTGTCCCCACAGGGAGAACTTCCTGGTGCTGGATATCTTCTTCGAGGCGCTCAACTACGAGGCCATTGAGCAGAAGAAAGCCTACGACATTGCTGGGCTTCTCGGTGACTCCCCCCACCTTCCCATGGGACCCTGAGGCGCAGAGCTCTGGGTCCCAGCCCCAGGAGGACATGGGGCTGGTCGGGGAGGGACCACACAGGGCAGGAGCCGGCCACACACTGGCTGAAGGGTGGCATGCTGCTGGCCGTCCCCTGTCCCGCATGTCCCCTGCTCCCTCCATCTTGCCACCCCTGCCCCTGTGACCACGCTGTCCCGCTCTGTCTGGCAGCCCTGGCACTGCCTGCAGTCCCGCTGGCCCACCCAAGGCTCCCAGCAGGCTGCACAGCATCTCCCGGTGACCATCTCCCCCTCTTCTTCCCCAGGGGACATTGGGGGCCAGATGGGCCTGTTCATCGGTGCCAGCATCCTCACCATCCTGGAGATCCTGGACTATGTCTACGAGGTGCGCTCAGCCTTCAGGGCTGTGTCTCGGCTGTGGGACCAGGCGAGGTGCAGAGTGGGGGTCAGGCTTCCTGGGGAGGGAGTGCCATGCATGGCCACCCCAGAGGGCTATTATAGCCCCCCAAATTGGAGAACACCCAGCAGGACGCAGTGGGGGGAGGACAGGTGCCCCCAGCATCCCTTGGTGACCTGAGGGTGGTGGGCAGAGGTTCTGTCCCCATTGTCAGCCCTGTCCCCCCTGGCAGGCAGGGGAGCGGGCAGCAGGTCCATGCAGACTGGGGTGCCCACACACGGAGTGCTGCCTGTGTGTGGATCCGGGGCTGACCCCCCATCTGCCCCCAGGTGATCCGGGACAGGGTGAGCCGGGTCCTGCGCCGCTCCAAGCCACCCCTGAAGAAGCCCTCGGGCAGCATCGCCACGCTGGGACTGGAGGAGCTCAAGGACCAGGTACCCCCGTGGGGGTGGGCAGCCCAGGGGGCTGCGAGGACAGGGCTTGGGCAGCGTCCGCCCCTGCCCCTGGGGAAAGGGGCATCGTCCCAAGAGCGAGGGACAGCACAGCTCTGCATTTGGTGCCCTCAAGGCTGGGTGGCAGGCAGCTGGGTGCCCCCGGGGGGGGCTCCTGGGGATGGGCTGTGCTGGGCGGGGGGGACAGGGTGCATGGGGCCTGCACCCACCCCCCTGACTGCCATCCCCACAGAGCCCCTGTGAAACGCTGGGCCGGCACGTGGAGGGCACCTACAACGCGGGCATCCTGCCCAACCACCACCACCGCCACCACTACCCTCACCAGGGCGTCTTCGAGGACTTCGCCTGCTAGGCCAGCTCGGGACTGGGGGGGGGGCAGCCCCCCGCCACTCCCCTCCCCGCCGTCCGCATGGAGAGGGACCGCAGCACCGGGCACGGTGGGCACAGGCCCCCGCCTCCCCCACCCCACTGCCAGGACCGGCCGGGCCGTTTGCCCCCGGGGATGCCGCCGGAGCTGCCTCGGCACCGGCACCGGCACCGGAGCGGCCCCCCCAGCCCTTTTGCCCGTCCTTTCCACTTGCCCCCAGCACGCGGGCTCAGCCCCGTCTCAAGCACACGGCGTGGAGGGGCACGGGCACGCCGGGGGGTTCGGGGGAGCAGCGGGGTGCGGGGCAGAGCCATCCTGGCAATGCAGAGCATGCTGGGGGTAAGCTGGGGTTCCCGTGAGCCCCTCCAAGCCCTCCCCTGCTGACCCCTCCTGGGTGAGGGTCTCTGCCCTGCACGGTCCCCCCCGCCCCGGGAGACACGTTCCTGGAACAGCTCCCCCCACCCCAGCCCAGGGACAACCACCCTCCCACCTTCCTGCTGCAGGGCAGGGCAGCATTGCAGGGCACCCCTCTGAGCAGCACGGCCCCCCCGGCCAGCCCAGGGACACCCCACCTGCAGCCACACCTGCATGGCACCACCCTGACCC